CTAGACAAAAACTGATTGAAGGAGATTGGGGGACGAGCGTGCGAGGGGAAGGGGGAAGTGAGGAAAGTTTCCCACGATCGAAAACAGGGTGTTGGAGGTGCCCTCCACAGAAGAGGTGACGAGAGGTGGAGGTCCAGTTCCCCAGCTCCCTGGCAGATCCCAACCAGCCCCCGGAATTGCTAAGCCTTAGACTTAAGTCACAATTTTAAGGAACGAATAATGGGATTACTGCTAGACCCGGGCGTTTAAAGGGGAATAAAATCCTAAAAATATGTGAACCAAAAAACGAAAAACGACGCACCAGAAAACAACAAAAAAAACAACGAAACGTGCGCTACATCATCATGAGGACGACTAATAGGCTGTAGCGTGCACATAAACGATTGGATTCAATGTTGTTCTGCAGCGGAGCCATAAAACAACTGGCACCAGCATAAACGCTGGTCACATGAGAACAATGGCCCAAAGACATCTGTCCCCCAACCCCCCCCCCAGGGAGAGAAAGGTCCGAGTACGGAAATGCGGCAGATAAAGGACACAGGGGTACTGACGGAGGAGGAGAAGGAGATGGAGTCACGGGGGAAAACACCCCACAAGGGGAAGCCCACCCCCCCCCGTCCAGGGATCGAGTAATGATCAGCCGCAACTCACTTGGGCGGACAAATTCCGAAACCCACACCAGGGCCAAACCCTGACCATTCAATGGGGCCAGGGCAGCCCGCGGACGGGAAACCTCGACATTCCTCTGGACGGGTTGCCACCAGCACGGGCCTTTTTCATAACGGATTTTCTGCTTCCATCAGAAACACAAGTGGTAATGCATGGAGGAAAGCAGGTCATGGTGAAGGCATACCCCAAAACTGGCATAGCCTGTCGGGATGAGATCTACACAAAACACGCCAACAATTGGGTGTTCCATGATGACACTGCCTTCAAATCGATCAACGGTGAAGTCAAGTGGATCGGCCATCGTGTGAGGATTGAGCTCTCAAAGGGGCCTTGTCGTGATGTACATGTTCTGGGCTAAGGCCCCCAGCAAGCCTCGTGCCCGCCCTAAGTGAAGGCGAGCCAGCAAATCAACGAGAGCCCCTTTGTTCAAACATTTCACGAAGTGGGGTCCATACAGTTGCCGCACGCCAGTTGGTTGGAGTGCACCGAGTACCGGATCTCTGCAAATGCAGAAAGGCCAGGGCCCCAGAATTGGTTAGGCCCTGGGGAAATAAACGTGAGGCCGACATTGCATGTTGGATATAGAGGCCGAAAATGCCAATGGGAAATCGGTCCACGCACTGAATCTGGACGCAGGCCTTGATGAAAGAGGCACAACTGTATTTCGTGGGCCCCAACCACATTGGGCCGGGGTACAGGTACTGGGGCCCAGGCGCAGGCTCAAGGGAGGCCGCCCGCACGCAACACTGGCATCTAGGCAGAGAGGGCGAGTGGGCAGGGATCTTGGCCATTGCGAGCAATGTCGGCACGCTGAAGCACTGCGAGGTGCTGTGCTGCGCTAGGCTGAGGTGAGGCAAGTTGGCGCTAAGCGGTAGGGCGCAGGGCGCTGGCGGCCATAGCCGGGATGCCTGTGGGCACAGAGGGAGGTGAGGGCGAAGGTGGTTCTTCGGAAGGTGAAGGGTGCTGTGTGGGATAACAAGGGAGAGTGAGGGTGAAGAGAGAGACGTACCTGGTGGAGAGGAGGTCGGCATTGGTGTGGACGTCATCACTCGCTGGTCCTCAAGTTGTCTGGTTGCTTCCATGCTGTAGTTGTAGTGATAGGCTGTAGAGTAGATAGGGCGCCTGGCGCCATTCAAAAGAGAGAGGTACACGGGGTTATGCTGTTGGTGTTGCCCGATTGGGCTTGGACATTGACTCACGATTCTTCTGTAACGTTCTCAAATGGATGGTTACTCGGTTCCATTGTGCTATCTGCTCTTGCTTTGACTACTTGGACTTCAGTGTGATTTTGCAATTTGGATTTTTGTGCTTCGTCTACATTCATGTTCCTTGCATTTTGGTATCGGAGCTGGTTCGATTCGCCACTTACCTTGGTGTGCTGGCGTTATACAGAGTTGGTGCATTGACGATGCTTCTTCGCAGTTGGTTATTGTGACGTCAAGCCAATATTAGGCGCACGACCTGGGTAGAGAGGTGTGCGCCGGAAGGCTGTACGGCTTGGGATGCCGAGGTGACGACGGAATGTATGTTGCGACGTTAAATATTTCCTGAGCGACCTTGGGGGCAGTCCTTAAATAGGCCTCTTGATCAGCCAGATCTGTCGGACGTACGGCTCGTTGCACGCGAGGATAAAGAATGGGCAAGCCTGGTCATAAGCATGCACCTAGGGCACAGAGGTGGGCCGACATTGCACACCTATGACACTGCTGCTCAATGATGCTCATGGGTATGTTGGGGTAAGACCCAACATTAGAAGAGTTCTTAGATATGGTAGAAGCTCGTTGGCACAATCTGCAGCAGGCACAAATTGCCACTGACGCGATGCTAAGACTAGACCAAAGGAAGTACAAGTCAGTCAGAAAGCTAACGTTTACTGTAGAGAGCCTCATCGTCGTTCCCGGTATACGCTACGATGACCAGGTTTTATTGACCATGTTTCTGAGATGTCTGCCCGAGAATCTCATAAATTTGCTGGCCAGCGACGCTAGCCTCGAGTATCATTCGTTTGAGACCTTCTCTAGAAAGGCCTTAGATTTAGAGGCAGGCCGCCGGTTTTTGTCGTTTGAAGAGCGGAAGCTCTAGGAAGTGCTCAACCTACTCCAGTAGACGGGAGGAAGAAGAAGAGTCCACAGGAGTCGAAGAAGAAGGGGAGTCGATTGATGATGGTTGAGTCTGATGGGACCCAAACCGAGATCGATGAACTTTCGGACCTGATGGACAGTCCAGAGTACGACGGCGAGGAAACCGCTGAGGGTAGCACCCTCGCCGCAGTAGTGAAGACTAAGGCAGGTGGCCGAGGAAAGCGCCATCAAAAGAGTCAAGGGCAGGCCGCCTCCAATCAAGCCAAAGTTGCTGATTGGGTCAAGGCAGGTCTTGATCAGGAAGTGTGGCGGGACCGCCGAGTGCGTGGTGCTTGCATCAACTGTGGTGAATACGGACACACCCAGTACAAGTGCAAGAACGAAAAGGTAACGCAGAAGATACCCCCTAAGGGAGGGGTACCTTCTTCCCAGGCTTCCAGCTCAGGAAACATGTGAGGCCGGTGGAAGTCTTAGCTGCTTCTACTCATGGTGAAGTGGGTCAGATACCCTCCCCACTTCATGAGAAGGCCATAGCTAACGACTCTTTAGTCACCCAACAGACTCGTCTAGACCAAACTATGCTCGGTACGTTGGATGTGTCTGAAGCCTTAGAAGATTTAGATAGTGAGTGGTCAAGCAAGGACCCTTGCGAATCTTGGGTGGCACTAAGTAGAGGTCCTAGAGGGGAACATTTCGTTGTGGAAGTTGCTGTAGGAGGCCGCGAACGTGGTGCCTTCGTAGACATCAGCTCCATGCGAAATGACATAAGTCGCGACTGTTTGGAAAGGCTGCACCTAAAGGACCGGGTACAGCGCCTTAGTAGACCCGTAGCATCTACTTTGGCCAATAAGGAGCGCATGGTTGTCACAGACTATATCAAGGATGTAGTTTGTACCTTCTCCTATGGAGGAGTGGTACTTAATCACAAGATTTCGTTCCTGGTCAGCGACGACTTACCATTTGATATGCTGTTAGGAATGTACTACCTTGAGGTTGCCAAGCCCCAGTTTGACTGGGACAAAAAGGTGCTACAGCATAAGTTGCAGGATGGAAGGACTGTGAGACTGGCTAAGTACAAGGCCAGTAGCTTAATAGAAACCTATGGCTGCTTGTGCGCATCAGCGTTCTATAATTATTATAAACAGAACCAAGAGGAGGGTATATACCTAGTGTATGTCTCTGAGAAAGGGGAGGCCGTTAAAACACCCCCAGAGATAGAACATGTCGTTGCTAAGTTCCCTGATCTGTTTGAGGAGCCTACGGGAGTCGTAGAAAGGGAGATTGTCCACGCCATAGAAATCATTCCAGGGAGTAAAACCCCAAAGGGAAGGATCTATAGGATGGCTCCGGCCGAGTTGGACGAGCTTCAGCGACAACTGAAAGAGCTTACAGAGAAGGGTTGGATACGACCAAGCACTTCCCCCTTCGTATCTCCAGTGTTATTTGTACCGAAGAAGGGGGGAACATTGAGGATGTGCATTGATTACAGAGGCCTCAATGCCATCACAGGGAAAAACGCATAGCTTCTACCTCGCATAAACGACCTATTGGATAGGGTGCAGGGATGTAAGAACTATAGCAAGATAGACTTAAAGTCCGACTATCATCAGATTGCTATAAGACCTGAGGATCAGCACAAGACTGCTTTTCAAACCCGATATGGTCTTTATGAGTTTGTAGTGATGCCCTCTGGCCTTTGCAATGCGTCGGGTACATTCCAGCATGCTATGAATAGGATCTTCCATGACTACTTAGATAAGTTTGTCGCCGTGTACCTTAACGATGTTCTTATCTTTAGTAAGTCTGTTGAGGAGCATGCACAACACGTTGAGACTGTACTTTCACTCTTGCGACAGCACAAGTATGAGGTCAACCTAGAGAAATGTGAGTTTGGACGCACTAGGATCTTGTACTTGAGTGAAGTGTCCGCGGAAGAAATTAGGTCGGAAGATGCGAAAGTGGCTAGTATCAGGGACTGGCCACCACCTCAGACTATCACTTTGGTCAGATCTTTCTTAGGTATGTGTGGTTACTATAGGAACTTCGTAAAGAACTATTTCACAGTCGCCTCTCCTTTGACTGATCTAACTCGACTTGACACACCGTGGGACTGGAGTGATGAGTGCGAGGCTGCTTTCAAACGATTGAAGCATGCACTCATGAATCATGAGGTTCTCATGGTGCCCGATCCTCAGAAGCCGTTCATAGTGACCACTGACGCAAGCCAATATTGGCGTAGTGCTGGCTCAGCAGGATGGAAAGAAGTTCAGACCGATTGAGTATATGAGCAAAAAGATGCCATCAAAGAAACTGGCAAAGTCCACCTATGAAAGGGAACTCTATGCTCTCTACAAAGCACTTGTCCATTGGAGGCACTTCCTGTTGGGACGGTTTTTCTATTTGAGAACTGACCATCAGACCCTTAAATGGATCAAGACTCCACCGGCTCTTTCTGATGCACTCAAGCGTTGGATTGAGGTCATAGATCAATATGACTTCAAGCTAGAGTATCTGAAGGGAGAGTACAACAAGGTTGCAGATGCGCTGTCACGTAGAGCAGACTACCTAGGGGCGCTAGTTTTTGAGTTTGGTGTATCTGTGGAACTAACTCAATCACTGGTGGGAGCCTATCAGGAAGACCCTGTCACGATGGACATCATACGCAAACTTCAGGCGAAAGATAAGGCCATAGAAGACGAGTTTGTGATGGTGGACGGGCTACTCTTTCTTGATAAGGCCGGGTTTAAGAGATTAGTGATTCCATCTAGTGAACATTTGCGTAGTTTATTCTTAGGAGAATGTCATGACGCAACCGGACACTTTGGCTACAAAAAGACGAGTGCCAATCTAGTACAACGATTTTGGTGGCCCGGAATGCTAAAAGATGCAAAGAAGTATGTGGAGACCTGTCAGGTCTGTCAGCGGGACAAGCCGCGAACTCAAGCACCGCTTGGGTTGCTTAAGCCCTTACCTATCCCCGCTGGTCCGGGACAAAGTGTTTCCATGGACTTCATGGACACTTTGGTGACCAGTAGGAGTGGCAAGAGGCATATCTTTGTCATCATAGATCGATTCACCAAGTACGCTAGACTAATTGCCATGCCAGAGACCGCAAGGACTGAACACGTCATCAAGTTGTTTATGGACAACTGGGTGCGTGATTTTGGACTACCAAAGTCAATCGTTAGTGACAGAGATGTCCGCTTCACAAGTGAGCTGTGGAAGAAGACTGCTGAACAGATGGGCAGTCAACTTCAGATGACTTCAGGGAATCATCCCGAAGCCAACGGACAGGCCGAGCAAATGAACAGAGTTGTACAACACCTGCTGAGGCATTACATCAAGCCCAGTCGGGATGATTGGGATGAGAAGTTGCCTCTCATCGCCAGCCTGTACAACAACGCTGTACACAGGAGTACCGACGTTAGTCCTAACCAGCTGCACTTGGGATGGAAGCCTAGATCAGCTCTAGACTTCCTCCTACCTGAAAACCGACCCTCTGCAACTCCAGGCACACTTGAGTATGGCGTGCACTATGAGAAGTTGCTGCAGCAAGCTGTCGAGCACATCAGGAAAGTCAGCAAACAATGATTGCTTCTGAGAACAAACATCGTCGACAGTCCTCATTTCAGATAGGGGAACGTGTCAGGGTCAAGGCTAGTGAGCTAGGATAGGAATTCGATATCCCTCGAAAACTATTGCCTCAGTATTTTGGTCCCTGGGGAGTCCTAGACATAGTTGGGGATGAGATGGATGGTCCTACCTATGTTATCCGTATCCCTGGGAACCTGCGCACTCACCCTGTCTTTCATGCCTCAAAGCTTGCACCTTTCGCTGAGACAGATCAATTCCCTTCAAGGAGATCGATGCTGCCCCCAACCATGGATGGCCAAGTGGACATCGACGACATTGTGGATCACAGAGACATGCCTGTTTCGAAGCCACTGGGTAGACGAAGACCTCCCAAACCCAAGAGAGAATATCGCGTCAGATTCAGGCATCATACGGATCCAAATGAAGATCGGTGGTTCACCAGAAAGGAACTGATTGACACAGCTCCTCAAGTGGTGGCAGAATATGAGAGGATGTTAAAAGGGAAGGCAACTGCGAAGTAAGCATCTCAACGGACTTTCGAAGCTAAGGGGGATGGAATGTGAGGATTGAGCCCTCAAAGGGGCCTTGCCGTGATGTACATGTTCTGGGCTAAGGCCCCCAGCAAGCCTCGTGCCCGCCCTAAGTGAAGGCGGGCCAGCAAATCAACGAGAGCCCCTATGTTCAAACATTTCACGAAGTGGGGTCCATACAATTGTCGGACGCTAGTTGGTTGGAGTGCACCGAGTACCAAGTCTTTGCAAATGCAGAAAGGCCAGGGGCCCAGAATTGGTTAGGCCCTGGGCAAATAAACGTGAGGCCGACATTGCACGCTGGATATAGAGGCCAAAAATGCCAATTGGAAACCGGTCCTCGCACTGAATCTGGACACAGGCCTTGATGAAAGAGGCACAACTGTATTTTGTGGGCCCCAACCACATTGGGCCGGGGTACAGGTACTCGGGCCCAGGCACAGGCTCAAGGGAGGCCGCCCACACGCAACACTGGCAAATAGGTAGAGAGGGCGAGTGGGCAGGGATCTTGGCCATTGCGAGCAATGTCGGCACGCTGAAGCACTGCGAGGTGCTGCGCTGCGCTAGGCTGAGGTGAGGCAGGCTGGCGCTAATAGGTAGGGCGCAGCCTGGGCGCAGGGCGCTGGCGACCATAACCGGGCTGCCTGTGGGCGCAGAGGGAGGTGAGGGCGAAGGTGGTTCTTCGAAAGGTGGAGGGCGCTGTGTGGGATAACAAGGGAGAGTGAGGGTGAAGAGAGACGTACCTGGTGGAGAGGAGGTCGTCATTGGTGTTGACGTCATCACTCGCTGGTCCTCACGTTGTACGGTTGCTTCCATGCTGTAGTTGTAGTGATAGGCTGTAGAGTAGATAGGGCGCCTGGCGCCATTCAAGAGAGAGAGCTACAAGGGGTTCTGCTGTTGGTGTTGCCCGATTGGGCTTGGACATTGACTCACGATTCTTCTGTATCGTTCTCAAATGGATGGTTACTCAGTTCCATTGTGCTATCTGCGCTTGCTTTGACTACTTGGACTTCAGTGTGATTTTGCAATTTGGATTTTTGTGCTTCGTCTACATTCATGTTCCTTGCAATCGGCTGGAAATACTAAAAAAAAGTACTCACTTGGACCGCGACCAGTTTCTGATCCAACCAGTCTCAAACCCCCTGTTCACGGTCTTGTGCTTGCACGAATCTGATAAAATCGCAATTGATGGGTGGAAGCGCGTGCGTTGTGAGCGGTCGGAAGTTCAGATTTACCTGTGGGTGCCACAATGTAGAATGGGCTCGGAAGAGAGGAGGGCACAGCTGATGCAAGATTTCTACTAGGTGGAGTTCCGCCATATCCTTGTCAAAATCCAAGCTTCATTTGTATACGATTTCATATTGATGTACGACATTGTCTCGTTTATAGACCCCATGTTGGCTCTGGATTTTCCCCAGGGCTAGCCATTCTCCCTCGATGACGTGATTCAGTATTAGGTAGGGGGGAAGGAGTACATGATTCACACAACGCACAAACTGAGGCCATGAACAAAAGTGCAGAGCACACAGCAACCTGAGTACGGAGTACGTCTGTCGACTCGCAAAAAAGGACTCGGGCCACAGGGAGATTATTTAGGGATCCGGTCAAGGTGACCCATTGGAGAGCAGTGGACCCGGGACATGAAGGATGGGTCTATATTGAGGACCGTATGAAGGCAGGCACCTCAATTGGGCGGAAATGGGAAAGAGTTGGGGAACCGGGCTGGGCGACACGCCCCCCGAACACATGGACTTCCCCGGCACCGATGGAGGAGAAGGTACAAGAGACACAGGTGAGCCTCCCGCAAGGGAGCACGGAAAACTTAGGCTGGAAGGCGGTGGGGAAGATAGGAGGGAAAGAAGTCTGGGTTCAAAAACAACAGGCGGAACCCGGGCCATTGCGGGACGATACTAACTGCTCCCGCGGTGTCCCGGGCCCGGCTGTTGGGCAGTACATTCAGGAGGAGGCAGATGCAGATGGCACCGGGATCCAAAGGAAGCAACCCACCCCCTCAGAGTAGATACAACAAAGCGGGATTGAGGTTGCAGGGGGAAAAAACATAAAGGAAGGAGAGTCTTCAATGAAAGAGGATGCCACATACAGCCCTCCCAAACAGTTGGGCCAAGAGGAAGCAAAGGGGCAACCGGAGGGACAGATGGAGGTGGGGGGTATGGAGGTGGAGTCGGGGCCGCTGGGGTGGAGAAATCGGAGCGATTTAGGGGGTCAGCAGAGAGAATTTTCCCGGTGGGCCAGACGATAGACACTGACCCCTTTCAGGCGGCTCGACCCTCTTCCGATTAATGTTAGCACGTCACCAGAGGGTTTGGTCCCACAAAGAGACCCAGAAAGTGAGGAGGAAGGGGCACCGCCACTGCACCTAACCGCGGAACAGAAACTGGTTGCCATTACAGACTGGATGATGAGGAATTTGAAAGCAAAACACGAAGTCGACCGGAAGAAGTGATCTGCCGGCACTAAAAGGGCGTTTACGAATTAGACCCCAGATGAGTACCCCAACAACGAGGGGCCCTGTCGGCCAGTCCTTAAATTCACGAGCAGCAACCCAAAAGACATCCTAAGGCAAATGTCACATCCATAATGAAATGAAAGGTCATTTTGAACAGTCACAAACAGGTCCTGAACGAATAGGTATTGGACACAATTTTTAAGACTGAGAAAGGGTCATGTCTCCTCGATGGAAATTCACGTCTGTTCGGCAACGAGTCAAAGGCCGCAGTCCGAGTCCAATCATAATCCCACGAGTCGGTCCTGATTCAGACCAAAAGTCCAAAAGACAGGCCATATGGCGCGAAGGAGCAGCAGACCACGGGAAAATATACTGGGACACACACTTTGCAACAACGGGTGCCAGGCAGGAGTCCCAGACACTTGAGGCTGAATGCACGGCACACCAGACCAGTCCAGCACTATAAAGGACTGGCCAGCCTCCCATTTGATAGATGCTCACTTCGCATGAGAGTGTGGAAGTGTCGTGGCACTTGTGCACCAGATGTGTGTGGGCTGCGCTTGGCTGAAGAGCAGCCTATGTGAGAGTGAAGAGAGTGCTGGCTAGAGGGAACGCAGCCATAGCTGCGCCAACGCTAGTTAGTACATTAGTAGGGATAGTTAGTAGGAGAGTTCAGCGAGTAGCATTCAAAGTAGATCCTCGTGTGATAGGGAGTGTGCATGCATGATGAATGGGAGTAGACC